TGCCAACTCAGCTAGTATCCTTATTTCATTCTTTCTATGAATCTATTCAAGATTTCTTCAGCCCTATTCCTACTTCGAAATCCCAGAATTTAACGGTTATTGTGGCGTTGACGTTAACGATCTTTATCGACACGTAAATCTTTACTTGAACTCTATTAATTCTTCTTCCACTTGCCGTCGTCTTACTCTCTCTCGCTCTAAATCTTCCAACCGCATTTCCTACACCGTTGCGCCTAATCAGATGGTGCACGACGCTTTCCGCGGACACCACCTTACTTGGACGCATCAAGTCGATAACATTCAGGATTCCGTTGAGGAGAAGCGTAGCTTCACCCTCAAACTCCCTAAACGTCATCGACTTGAGCTCCTCACTCCTTACCTCGAGCAGGTAACTTCTCGAGCTGAGGAGTTCGAGAGGGTATCTCGTGAGAGGAGACTTTTTACTAATAACGGCCATGGTTCGTATGAATCTGGCTGGTCTTCTGTCCCCTTTCGCCACCCTTCCACGTTCGAGACGCTCGCCCTCGAGCCGGAGCTGAAAACACAACTCATGGATGACCTAACTGCATTTTCTCAAGGGAAAGAGTTTTACCATAAAATCGGACGTGCATGGAAGCGTGGATACTTGCTATATGGACCTCCAGGGTCAGGAAAATCTAGCCTCATTGCTGCTATAGCAAACTTCCTTTGCTACGACGTGTATGATCTCGAGCTCAGCAAAGTCTCTGACAACTCTGAGCTCAGAGCGTTACTCATACAAACAACAAATCGATCCATCATCGTTATTGAGGACATCGATTGTTCTATTAACTTAACGGGCGATAGGATGGCAAAAAGGAGGAACGTCCAAACAATGCAGAAGAAGAATCATCGCCATGTCATGATGAGCGATAATGCAGAAGATAACGGACGTGTGACGTTATCTGGCTTGTTGAACTTCACCGACGGGCTATGGTCGTGTTGTGGAGAAGAGAAGGTGATTGTTTTCACTACAAATCACAAAGACAATGTAGACCCGGCGTTGGTTAGATGTGGGAGAATGGACATGCATGTTAGCCTTGGCACGTGTGGGATGCATGCCTTCAAAGTCTTGGTGAAGAATTACCTAGGGTTGGACTCGCACGTGCTATTCGACGTCGTGGAGAGCTGCATAAGGTCAGGTGGGACCCTCACGCCAGCTCATATAGGAGAGATCTTGTTGAGGAACAGGAGGGATGCTGACGTGGCGGTGAAGTCCGTGTTGACCGCCATGCAAGCAAAGATATTAGGTGCTGACGTGGATGCTACGGAGGGAGGACACGAGTACGATGACATGGCAAGGACGCCGAAGAGTATAGGTAGGAGATTGATGGAGTCGCCGGATCATTGTCCGGAAGGTTCACCGGAGAAAAAGAAGAAGAAAGAAGGGTCAACTAGGGATAAAAATGTCAAATTCTTAGTAAGACTTAGATCATTGACCAAGTCTGACTCAGGAAGAAGAGGTGTATAAATGTAATTAATGGATGATTATCTAACTCAGTTAGGTTAATCTGTTAATGAAGGTGGGGTCAATGTAATATGTTAAAGTTTATCTAGTTTACGTACGACTCAGTTTGAAATGGAAGTTTTTGGCTGGATTTGGGTACCCCATTTTATTAAGATATGTGGTGTTCACTTTAGGGAACATTTAGATATTATATTTCAATAAGTCAAATTAGTAATAAAGAAGTAAGTGTCACTAGAAAATGCATGATGCTACCGTCCAAATTATAAATCTTAACAGAAGTATATATGTAGAATAATAGATGAAGTGAACTTGACCTTAGATGAACCTAAAGGTCAAGAAACATAATGGTTATTTTGGAGAGAAGTACAATACGGTTATTATAAGAATTGAGAAGAGGCATTTAGAAGAAAAGACAGAAGAGCTTTGCCAACTGGCTGTCAGCCCCTGGGACATAGTGGAATGTATCATTAACTAATACTTATCAAAATATTTCAATTTATTTGTCTTGTTTTAACTTGAGAGGACTTATTTGTTGTGAAGAATAAAAGAACTAATTTCGAAATTAATTTTATAATGAGTTTATTCCAAGTTTATTCAGAAAAATAATCAAAGGATAACTTATCACGAAATTAGTTAATCTGAGATTGTAGGATTATTTTTATCCCAGGGTGGGATAACAATCTCGGATAATTAATCCCGAGATAACTTGTTTCCCCAATCAAATGAGCCACAAGTCTAAGAAAGTAAAATAATTTTTTAAAATTTGTGGTCTTAAACTAAAAATATATAAAATGTAACAAAATATCTTTTAATGTCATGGTTTAAACTATGGAAACATGTCATGGTTTATACTTGTACATTGGTTGATGTGGGCTCATATTTAATGGCATCTCAGAGTACTGGATTACAATCCATGTTAAGCAGAGATTTTCTTGAGGAAGCCCAAGCTACAGCCCAAATTGTTGTGCTTAACACCTATTGTTTCATATTTTCTTCCTTTAATACAAGAGATATACTATAAGGAATTAGACTGAGCAGTAAGCAGAATATGTATATGCCACAAGAAAAGTCAGTTGGAAAGTCTAAGAGCATTTAAATAAAATTTGGATGAAATGAAGTATCAAAATATATTCTAACTTGATGTTGAATAATAGTATTTAGACTATCAACTTGTGTTTGAATATTATAAATTATACATCCGACTGATTCCGAAAAATGAAATTAAAGACGAACTTTAAGTTTGAAAAAATAATTTTGATCAGTTTTTCACTCACAAATTTCAATTTTTTTTTAAAAAAATTAAAATGTATAACCAAATAAAATTTTAATTTTTAAATATGTCTTTTAATTTTTTTTCAACTATTTACAAAAATATATATATACGTTAAGACGACTGCTCAACTAAAAGTGTACGTACATTAAAATATGCAAATTCAAGAAGACATAGTAGAGAACTATTCTCTCCCAATCAACATAATTGAGATGCAGTGTTGGAACTACTTTATCCTTAATCAGAGGGTTCAGATTCGAATTCGAATCCTCAGTATGGAGAAAATCATGTTGGGAGTGTCACCCTCAAATGGATCCTACAGTGAGCGATCCAAATTTAACTGGGTCTCTATTGTGTGCTCCGATCACGAAATGAAATATCAAAAGAAAATAAAGAACTGCTCATCTCCCCCTGTTGGTGGTCTTACAGTAGCAATGGACGTAGAAGGAATTTTTTGCATGGCTTTTAACATTTGAGTTCAATAACATTCACCTTAATGGGGCCCCCATCACCATCTTTCCTTAGTAAATACTAGATTATGTCCCTTCCAATTTATGTAATATAGGTTTTGGCACTAAATTTAAAACATATGAAAAGCTTTGCAATTTTCAAAATTATTCTTTAAAAAAATGAATTCCTAAATAAAAAAATATCTCTTTATGATTTTTTTATCAAATAAGTGGAACCTCAATAAATTTTTTTTATAACATTAGTAACTATTTAGGACAAATTACCTATTTACCCTATTCTCCATTTTCCCCTACCATTTAAAAATAGAACAACTTTTGCATTTAGCAAACATAAAAATCAAATTTGTATACTATAGTTATAGCTTGCATAATTGCGTTGTATGTTTGCTATGGAGCATCAGATTGTATAAATCGTTGGGTGCATGAGATTTGTATAAAATCGTTGATTGCCTCTCATTTGTATAAATCGCTGACAGCCTCTCAATTCAATTTTATGTGTTTGTATATCTGCATAAAAGTTGAATTTGTATACAATTGAATCGAAATAAAACGTTTGTATATCAAATCACTCTCTCGCTTTATACAACACAAATTATACATTGTAACTTGTATAATCTGTGTTTGTATAAAGTGAAAAGATAAAAGAGAACTGAGTAGGGAAGATCTGTATTTGTATAATTATAAGTATAGAGGACGAAAATAGATGTATTTGTATTTGTATATATACATTTTTCTCTCATTTTATACAAACACAAAGGCATTTTATACATTTGTGTTTGTATAAAGTGAGAGAGGCGAGGGAGAGACTGGCGAGCGAGAATTTCAGGGAGAGAGGCGAATGGAAACAGTTTGTTACGGATTACAATTAAATCAAATTGTGGTTATAGCATTTAATTTGAATTAATAGTTTGCTATTATATACAATTTTCCCTTAAAAATATTTCAGAAATCTCTATATTTAATAGGGACAATTTGATAAAATACCTATATCAATAACTAATTTTTAACAAATATGTCAAATTAAATAATAACAAATAAAAATAGACGGAGAGAGTATATAATTCTTTTTTGGGACAATTTAAGGGGATAGTATTGATGATGAAAGTAGTGGTTGTCCTCAATCCTCTTTACTTGCACCATTGCACATCTCTACTTGAAACAAATATTCTCATACTACCTCGGTCTACTTTTAATTGTCATGTTTCGCTTTTCAAAAATTAAGTTGACTAATTTTTAAAGTTAAATGAGATTGCATTAATTTGTTATTTTAAATAAAAAAATTTAATTTTCAAAAACTATACAAAAAGTACTATAAATTGCAATTTTTTGTATATCAATATGATGAAAAATACATCGTAAAATGTTAGTCAAAGTTTTTATAGTCTCTAAAAAATGAAACCACGACAAATAAAAGTGAATGAAGAAAGTATTAAAAAACGAAAAAACGTACTCCTACTATTAAAGGATATGGTGCAGTGAGTACTAAGTAGGGCTATTTTTTCTTAATCAAAGATCTCGACTTTTATTTTGAATATAGAGAATTATTTGATAGGAAGACTTCCTCTTGAATAAGACTCTACACAACATGAATTATAGTAGAGCTTCAATATAAATATCAAATATGTTTGGAGATAGAAAAAAGAAGTACTGGTAATAGAAAATCAAAGGAGAAAACCACGTGTCATAATATGATACATTCATGCTCTAATGACAAGGTATCCACCGACTGTTTATACTTTCGGAAAGTATATCTTTATATCTTAAAATATGGTGGCGTAGTTTTCACATTCTAATTAATTTAACAAATTGGCATAATTCCCCAACCATAAATCCTATTCCAATTTCCCCATAATCAATAGAACAATTTCTCAAACACTTGAAAAAATTAAATAAAAATGGGTGTGGTGATCATAGACGGATCAACAATTCGAGATTTCGTTAACGACGAAGCTGCTTTCACAAAGTCAATTGATAAGGGATTTACCGATTTGGACCTGAATAACGACGGCGTTTTGTCTCGATCCGAGCTCCGCAAAGCCTTCGAATCTCTCCATCTCATTGAATCTCACTTCGGCGTCGACGTCGCCGCCACGCCGGAGGAACTCACCGACCTCTATGATTCCATATTCGAGAAGTTTGATTGCGACCACAACGGCACTGTCGATCGAGAGGAATTTGGAAATGAGATGAGGAAAATTATGCTGGCGATCGCGGATGGACTTGGTTCATCGCCGATTCAAATGGCGCTTGATGATAGTGAACAGAGTTTGATCAAGCAAGCTGCTGATCTCGAAGCTTCTAAGCTTCCTGCCTAGTAGTATACATATATAACCAACCGCTTTCGAATAAGTTCCTCTGTTTGTTGTTTAATATCAACTTTCACATCTCCATGTGGTGTGGTCAGTTATGTATTTTAACTTCCTAATTTACTAGTTTTTATATATATATGCAATTTTACTGGTTTTTATATATATGCCTTCTTCGTATTCAGAGTTTGAAACGAAAGTGAAAATCAAAAAAAGAATACGTCGCCTGAGAGATTCGAACTCTCGCGGGGAAACCCCATGTACTTAGCAGGCACACGCCTTAACCACTCGGCCAAAGCGACATTTGATATCCCTCTTTAGAACAGAACTCATCATAACAAAGATTTCTATGACATACTTCCGAATCCCTCCGACAAAAGGATTGTCCACAATTAGGAGTGACAAACGGGCAGATCGAGTCGAAAATGAGTTAAATAAAAATGGGTAAAATACTCGACTCCATTCATATTTTAAATAGATAAAAATGAGTTATCAAATGAATAATATGAGTATCCATATTTTTCCATATTATTTAGGTATCATGTTAAAAGCTTCAAAAGCAAAAAATATTTCTCACCCCCCACCCCACTCCCACGAATAAAATACTCAGAACTTTATAGATTTAATTTGCCCACCCCCAACTCCAATGCATCAATTCTTTTCTTTTTTTACTACTCATAACCCCCCCCCCCCCCCCCCCCCCCCCGCGTCCACCCAACCCCAACGCCTAAAAATTAAATTTATTTTTTATTATTTTGATCACCCCACAATTACTATCCCCTTCTAGCCTCCCACCCACCCACCCACACACTCCAAACCCTAACACCAAAAAAAATAAATTTATTTTTTTAAAAGAAATTAAAATTATAAATTTATTTTTTACTACTTTGATCACCCCATCATCACTATCCCCCCCCCCCCCCCCCCCCACACACACAACCCATGCACCTAAAAAATTAAATTTATTTTTTACTATTTTGATCACCCCAACCATCACTATCCCCCCCCCCCCCACCCACCCCACAACCCATGCACCTAAAAAATTAAATTTATTTTTTACTATTTTGATCACCCCAACCATCACTATCCCCCGCTTTCCAGCCCCACCCACCCAGCCCCCTCACCAAAAAAATTTGTTTTTAAAAAAAAAATTGTTTTTTTTCCCTTGTCCCACCCATTCCTACCCTGACCTTCTACACTTTAAAAAAAATATTAATGTCACTTTTATTTCTTTTATAAATGAGTCTCTTCTACACATTTTTATCATTTAACTACCCACTTTTAAATGAGTAGTATGAGTTTAACTCGTTTTTTATTCATTTTTAAATAAGGTGTATATCCATTTTGCCATCCCTATTCACGATCATATAAGAGGATCTGGTGGATTTGACCATGATATCATGCTAAAAAAAATAGATTTTGACCTTAATTCAATTTTAGAAGTCTTTTTATTAATGATTGTCCAAGATCATATAAGAAGACTAAGAAACTTTGAACCCACCGATGTGGGTCTCCCAACAACATTTGGCATAAAAAATGTTTTGTAATTGTAATTGCATTTGAGGTAAGAACTCAACCAATTGAACTAATTAAACCAGATCAATTATTCAATGTATTTCACATTATATTTCCTTGCCTCTCCTAAAATGGTTGGTCAATAATCCTTGGGTCAACTTAATTTTAGAATTAATTAAAGATAACATTTCAATCTCATCTTAAATCAAAACGAATTTATAAGAAATTCTTAGAAGAAAACAATATTGACCCATATGTACCTTTGACATTTTTGTGGCTTATGGTGATTTGGTTTTGGTCCCTTTTTCGTGCATGTGGTTATTTTCATATCAACACATGCCGATATATGCCATTATATTGGACGTTGAACTGACCAAGAATAATGTTCGAAAAAATGGTCATGATATCTTATTAACCTTATCCGTTTATCTAACTCGTTAAAGTTTGACTTTACTACTCGGTCAAATTTGATACTCCATAACATACTTTTCTTTAATCTGGCCTAAAATTATTATATTTTCCTATTTATAAGTAATTTAATTTTCAATAATACTATGAAATAGATTAGAAAAATACATTATATTTTTGGGTCAACATTTACATATTTTAGCTAATTAGGAAAAAGTTCAATAGCCAAATAGTAGAATTATTATTTTACGCTTGATCAAATGATTAATTATATAATATTACTTATAATTTATTTTAAATCACAAAGTTTAATTTCTTTTTTCTTAAACCCTACGGTCGATGAAACATGTTCACATAAGGGAGCACATGACCATGTACAATAGTCTATTTATTTGATGGTAATATGGACCTCCTTTGTGATATAATCGATCATCAGATAGATTTTGAGAAAGATAAAATTTAATTGTCTTGAAACTCTCTATGAATATTCAAGATTTTATGTGATATTCGAGATGCTTCTTCAATAGGATATGTTATCCTCTATATATGCGTAAGCTAGAATTTAGGATAGGAAAACCTTCCAAATCCTACAAAATTTCATAATCTACAAATACCGAGAAAAAACTTGGACCGTGGCAACTAGATCAATATGTTAAGCTTAAAAAATTAGTGATCACCGTAATCCATGACGAAGTGCATGTTCAGTGACGACTCCATTTTATCCACTCTTTGAAGCAATTTTAAACAAGTTGGCAATTAATTTATGCGTTAAAGCAACAAATGGCTGTTAAATACTTATTGTTATTGAGGAACTTTCTGTTATTGGTCTTGATGGTGAAGTAATCCCATTTTATCAACTCATTAATTATAGTATTGGGCACCTTATTTCTTTACTTTCACAATTTTTCAACATAATAATTATTTACCCCTTTCTCCCTTCCAGAAAAAAGAAAAAGAAAAATTATCCACAACATAATATTATTTAAGTTATATATAAGGAGTGAAAAAGCAGTTAAGATTTAATATCAATGAAAAACTTATCTAATTATAACAGATTATTAATTAATTACTCTATTTTTTTTAGATTACTATATATATCAAACTCACTACGAAGATTTATACATGATAAATACACAAAATCTAAATTCCGTAATTAAGTGAAATTGTGAATTTTGTAATTAATTATTTTCTTTTTTTCTTAGAAGGGACAAGAGAAAATTCTTGTTTTTTTTTTTCAATTTTTTTTTAAATAAAACTTGATTGAGAAAACATGTGGTCAAATATCATGGAAATTTCCGCGTAGTCCTTTTACTTGAAAAGTTCTTCTTCACCATGTCAATGCTGAGTTGGCAAGTGGCACCTAAATTGGTTTTTTAAGAGGCTGCCTAATTTGAAAGTCACAAGTTTCACTCTCTTAAACCTTTTTTTTTTCTTCTATATATACACATCTTTTACGTACCATTTTTCCCATATTATCTCTCAACAACTTCCTTTGTCTCTCAAAAAAATTAAAATTCTTTTTTTTTCTCAAGAATCTATTATACGCAGTCTACCAAAATCGGAACAACAATGATGATTGATGAACATATGTTGATCAAAGTAGGACTCTTTATTTTAGTCCAAGGTTTGGTTTATTTGATTCTATCAAAATCTTCAAACGTATTCTCCAAGACACAAAGATCATACAGCTTTAAAACAGTTCGTTCTTTAAGCATTCGCCGGATTACTGCTGCACTCGCCGACTTACCTGTCGGCGGTGAGCCATCTCCCTCTTCCTTCAAAGATCAGTTGACATCTTCAAAGTCTTTCAAGTTATTCAAAGATCACAATTAGTAAAGATTTTTTTTTTTTTGTTTTTTTGCTTACGTGAGCTGTTTTTGTATTCTTTGATTTGTTCATGGATAGTTAAATCAAATTAGTTGGTGTGAATTTGGGATATATAATATTCTCTCATTTTAAATCTTGTAAATTATAAGTTGGTTGGTCATTGTAAAGATTTGAACTGTGTTCACGATTAAATTTAATCTCCGATAGTAAGGTCTATTCTATTTATTTTTTCCTTTTTAATGATAGGATAACTAATTAGATGGTCCATAAGGATAATAGCTACGTACTATAGAAGGATTAGTATGAAACCATACATTATATTAATCAAGATAAGATAAATGATTGTATATTTTTATTGAGTTTAAGTTTTTGCATGATTGGTAATTTTTAAGATAAATATAGTAACTTAATTAAGTAATTAATAAAATATCTTTTTGAATTTAATTATAGTTACGGTAAAATATAGTAAAGCAAAGTTGAATTCCCTTTATTCTCTAATCAAAATTAATTCATAGTTATATTCTTAATTAACTAAGTTTATTTGCTTTTCTACATTTGAATTTTTCTTGTTTCTATCCCTTTATCTTCTTGTCCGATTAATTTATGACTTTGCCAAAAATTCAAAAGAAAAAAACAATGATAATTAAGAAATTATTTGTGGCATTGAAAAATTACTTCTGATAAAAAAAAAAAACAGATTTAGAAAACCAAATAAACTTGGTTAATTAAGACGATTTATAACTATGAATTAATTTTGGTTAGAGAAGAAAGAGGACACAACTTTCCTTTGCTATATTTTGCCGTAATTGAAATTATATTCAAAAAGACATGATTTCATTAATTATTGAATCAAGTTACCATGTTTATCTTAAAAATTACCTAATGGTGTAAAATCTTATATATACACTAACCGCGCACAAAACTTAAACTCATTTTTATTTCCCTAGATGGTTGTTGATTTGCGACTTTGACAGCTGACTAACTACATATATCCTAAAAGGATCACCACTAATTAATCACAAAAATTTAAAATATCATCCTTGGCCTACATGTTGTGCAGTTGTGGTTCGTAATTTGCAAATGGTAATTATGGAGGTTGGGTAGGTACTAGTCGTTATCTCCATTTTTAAAAAGCCATAATTATATTAGTTCCGGTGTACAAAATCGAACCGAAAACCGAATCAAACCGCAAATTGAGTCAAATCGGAAAAAAAACCCGACTAGTGATTTGGTTTGACTTGGTTTGGTATTGGAAAAAAAACCCTGACTAAATTTGGGTTGGTTTGGTTTTAACTAAAAAAAAACAACCCGACATTATATATGTAATTTTAAATTTTTATTTTATACATAAAAGTATTTACATTGATATAATTTTAAAATATTTCTTATACTATTTCATTGTTTTTATCTTTTAACATATTATTTCAAGTTTAAAACTTAGAATTCGGAATGGTCCAATAAAGAATATTATAGTTCATAGATATTGATAATTATAATAAAACTTAAATCAAAATCAAATTAATACTAATGCAAAAAGAAAATCACTTCAACACTAAGAATGACAATAATATTGAATATTTGTTCTTTAGTTTTTATATTGGTTTAGACAATTAAAATACATAATCTAATTTTAATTTTCCTTAAATATTTAGTAATGTAACTAATACTTATTAAACTTATTTTAGCATGATTTAGTACTTTTAAATTATGATCATTTTCATTATGACTTTGCAATATTTATTTTATATGATGATTTCATTATTATTTTTTATTGAATATTTTAGTGTCATCACTCATCTCATATTTTGTGTTATTTTCTTAAGAAACACCTTAGATAATTGTATTTTGGTTGGACTAAAGAAATATTTGGAGCACAAGTTAATTATATGTTTGTATGCAAACTTTACCGAAAAAATCCAAAAATTTGAAAAAATCTGAGGTTTATTAGTTTGGTTTGATTTATAAATTTTAAAATTCGACACAATGATTTGGTTTGGTAGTTGAAAAACCTGAAAAAATCCGAATTTTGTTAGTTTGGTTTATAAATTTAAAATTTTTACACAAATAGTTTGGTTTGATATTTAAAAAATCCGAACCAACCTGATCATGTACACCCCTACCCATAACTATTGATTTATTTGGGTTGGTCTTCTAAAGATTCATCATGGTTGGAACAAAACTAAATGGACTTATACTTGAGCATAGTAGTTGGAATTTAACTTTGAGATATCTAGGCAATTTTCTTGTAATAATAAAAAAAGAAAATATTAGAACATAATTATCAACTTCACTTATTTAAATATTCTGAAGAGGTGAAAAACGTGAATGATTTTGAAATAGATGAAATAATTCAAAAGTTGGATTTATATGTAGCACGACTTATTAAATCATTTAAAATTGGATTGGTGTGTCCTACTTGTAGTTGTTGATGCTTTTGTCTAATCTAACAAATTAATATGCCGTGGACGAAAGTAACTTTAACACTACTATCACAAGGGAAGATAAATGATGGCTCAATCACGACCCTAGAAGTGTCATTGCTCAACTACTAACTAGATGGAATGTCTATGGGCGGGTTAGGATAGGTTAAGATTTGTCCAAGTCTATATAAGGAGACTGATTTTTCATCCCTCTATCGATGTGAGTCTTCTTAACACTTCCCCGCATGTCCAGACCTCAATTGAAGCGTGAACACTTCTAAATGGGGCCCAACATCGGTGAACAATAAAATGGGATGAATTTGGCTCTGATACCATGTAAAGATATGACACATGAGTCTAACTCAACTGCAAAAGCTAGCTCATGAGGAGAGGTTTGTCCAAGTCCATATAAGGAGACCAATTTCCCATCTCTCTATCGATATGGGACTTCTTAACAACTACGCCTTGACCTGCTAAATTTTGATTCGTCCTTTTTTTTTGCATTTTTCAAAAAGTTTATTTTATCCCACCACCCCGACTACGTACTCCCTTATCCTACCTCGTCAAGCTCCAACCTGTACATCAATGATTCATTTTATGTTTCTAAAGTACTTGACTCGACCATCTATTTGACACTTTAAATTTGTCAATTTTCACCCATATTTTATAACAGTTACACTCAATTTCATAGAACTTGAGGTAGCTAGAGCATGTCATGTGTTACGAACCCTTAATTAATAAAACATACTTTTGAAAAGTTTGGTACGTCCATGCCTATTTATTTAATCAAAGTAATTTTTATTTTACAATTTATAATTAATATGTTTATCAGTCTGATGATACCAACTCCTCTTCTAACACCCATACAATTAATATTAAAAAGTAAAATTAGATAATTAAATCTTAAGCTTAAAAAATTAGCAGCAGCTAGCCTAAAATATGACTCATCTTGATGGTCACGAAATTCATGAAAGCTTTCATTTTATCCACTTGTTAAAGCTAAGTCAGGCAGTTTTAAGTTAAGTATACGTAATATATAATAATACATACGTGTCCATAACTAAGTTCACGTGATAATTTTTCTACATAGATAACACGTAAGTTGATTGCTACGCAATAATTTTAAATAATGAGGCAATTTAGGCGTTAAAGCAACATATGATTGTTTTAAAGTGTTTTATTCTATTTTATTAAGGACCTTTCTGTTATTAATCAATTGTGATGGTCAAGCAAATCCTATTTCATGGAAATTACTTGATTTCCCGTTCAAACATTTTGTTTATTTATTTTATCAATATCAAGGAGCTCATGTTTCCCACCACCAACATAAATTTGTGAAATTTATTTATTTATTTTTTTCAGTTCTTCAAAAATGTGGTCAATTTTGAACCTTTTTCTAGAATATTGAATATAATCATGTTGATAATTATTGCGATAAATAGTACTACTGTAGTACTATGTGGTTCAACAGGGGGGCCAAATGTCTAGGAGAAAATTAACATTTAATTTTCCAAATCGTTGAAAATAGGTTATGTACCAGATCGATGAATCTTCCAGAATCCTCTTTTGGACATGTTCATCTCACATTGTTGTTGGGTTTAGCAAGGTGTGAATGGGAAATAAAAAGAGAAAATGGAAAGTGGAAGAACCAATGAAAATGGGGGAACCAATTTTGGAGGGAAAATGAAAAGTCATCATTGCAAAAGTGCAAATGAAAGGTCATTTTTACCATATTGGTAGAAGAAAGGAAATTGTTGTCCTTATATTAGGAAACACTTCCTTTAGTTCTTAAAGGGTTAAGAAGAAGGTGCCCCCTCGCGCTGTCGTCGTCGCTCGCTCGGCTTCGGATTCGGCAAATGATGTGATTGATTGATAATATTAATTCATAACGTTAATTAAATAACAGAACAGATTTTCTGAACAGATGCGTTCCTTGCTGCAAATGGCTATAAATAAGAGCTCTTTTTCGTTTTTTCAAACACTGAAATTTTTCCTCTCTGCATACATTTTCTTACATAAATAAAATTGTCGATCGACTGAGTCTGTGTGTGCTCTTGTTGTTGTTCTTGCGTTCGCTGAAGTTATTGAAGTTTGAGGTACCGCTACTTCTTTAACAGGTTAATCCGTTTTATCTTGGGAGGAATTAATCTGCAACCTCGGGTACAGTGAGGGGATTAAATTTCTTAAGGAAACACAGTGGTTTCTGTGGACTCGGATTAAAAAATCATTCTGTCAATTTCATCTTTTTTCTGTTTCTGTATTTTTGACTAACCTAAATACAGAAGATAACAATTATTGCTCACTATATTTTGTTTCTCGGTATTCATATTTGAAGTTTTTTTTTAATGTATATATAATAGATCTAGTAAATACAATTCACTTATAGCCTAAATTAACAAATTCTATAAGTGTACAAATTAAAACTTATACTAATGCTTCCACGAGTTAACACACATTAATAAATACACATGTTTCTTTTTTAATTAATCAATAGTTGATTCATTTCATTTTATTTGATTCTTATATTAAAAATAGATTATTTTTTAACTTGTCTATTTTAAGACATCAAGAAAAAATTATTGTTTT